GGGGGGCAGTTGTACTGGACAGTTTTTGGAATATGTTAGACAAGAACTTGTATGGAATGGTTTGGATAGGGGTGATCCTGTGTTGAGCAGGGGGTTGGACAAGATGACCTCTGGTCCCTTCCAGTCCTACTTTTGTATGATACTATTTCCTGGTTCCAAAATGGGAAGTATAAGGATATACTAGGCCCCCAAATTTCATTTATAGGCCCTGATTCGTCCTATGCTTATGACAGAATCTAGTCCTAGGAAGCTACACATAAGCTTGATGATGCATACATAATGAGAGAGAAGGAAAGATTGAAACCAAGCTTAGGAAATTTGTACATTAGTTCTATGGTATATTAAAAAACACACACATAGGGATTGTATTGTTTTTTTCCTCCTAGGAAGTATACCACAGTAACTGACATAGTAATAATTTACTTTTTTTTTCTCATTCACTACTAAAAATACACCATATATTGCTGCCCATAATGATAGAAAGCATGTTAATACCACTGCAATCCAGTGTGATTATCGTGAGATGGTCAGGTAAGTTTCACAATAGCAGGTGGTATCTCTCATAATGGTAACTGCAGTTAAGTGCCCGTGTATGTGGGTTAAAGGATTGACGTGATTTCACCTTTATACAAGAAGCATTTAATTAGATGACTGCATTCAACCACCCATGGTACCATGAAGATCCAACTGTGATGTTTGAAAACCCTGTTTAGGAAGCCTCAAAAACACTGAACCCTTTGAAAATACGGTTTAGGAACCCATACAGAGGGAACATTTCTGTATCTTTTAATAAATAAAAAGGGTAAGGTAAACCTTTAACTTGTCACTTTCCTTTGTCAGCTGTGCATTGACTACACCGAATCAAAGTACTTCACACTCCTAATTGATGAGAACCCCTTCCACCTAGATTGAGTTGGAAGATTATGTCCAGTTTTCAGCACACAGGCCTAGGATCCAGCTGCTTAAAGTATAGTTTAAAGTGTAGTATCTTAGGGCAACTTTACACATGCTCTGGAGTGGAGCAGGGTGGCACTTTAATTAGAGCAGCTCTGAAAACCACTCTAATTACAGCACCTGCAGCATCACATGTATTCAGCATCCCATGCTTCAAAATGGTGGCAGGGGCACTTTGACTAAATCTCATTTAACAAGCTTTAATTAAAGCACCCCCCACTGCCATTTTGAAGCATGGGGACACTGAATATATGTGACTTAGAGCCTGCTAGAGCATGCTAATTAGCACACTCCACCAGACTCGATTAATCAAGTCTGCTCCAAAATGTGCTAATCAGCACACATTGGAGCACAGACGTGTAGCACGTGTATAGGTGCCCTTAATAACCAGCTCTGTTCACAGCACTTCACCTCTAACATGGAATGCTTGGCTCTTTAGTACTAGGAGAGAAGGAAGGGGCATGGTAGTGTTCTTTGTTTGGCAATTAACCATTCACTGGCTTTTTTTGTTGTAACGTGCACTTCCTCTCTTGTTTTCATTCAAGCTTTGTACACCATGGAAATTAATGTGGAGAAAGACAAACAGACAGGAGAGACCAAGATTCTCTCTACAACACCTGTTGGTCCAGAGGGGGCTCATCAAAAAGGACTGAAAGTCTATGATGATGGTACCAAGGTAGTCTATGAGGTTCACTCTGGAGGCACAGTGGTAGAAAATGGAATACATAAATTAAGCCCAAAGGATGTTGATGAACTTATGCAGAAAGCTGGACAATCAAGTGTAAGAGGAGGGTATGAAACAGTGACTGTACCAGACAGAAATGTGATAGCAGATGGAAATCTTAGCCATATGAAGGAGCAAATGCTCTTCAAGGAGGCAAAGTTGGAAATGGTACATAAATCCAGTAAAGGGCATTCTGTGGATCCTCAACACCAAGCAAAACTCTCTGGTGATGCAGTCCCAGAGGCCAGTGCTGATCAACCAGTGACAATGATTTTTATGGGATACCAAAACATTGACGATGAAGAGGAGACAAAGAAAGTGCTAGGCTATGATGAAACTATCAAAGCAGAACTTGTCCTTATTGACGAAGATGACGAGAAGTCATTGCGTGAGAAGACTGTGACGGATGTGTCCACCATGGATGGAAATGCAGCTGAGCTGGTCTCTGGAAGACCTTTGTCAGACACAACTGAGCCCTCCTCTCCTGAGGGGAAAGAAGAAAGTCTGCCCATGGAACCAGCTCCAGGTACACAAAAGAAAAAGCGCTGTCAATGCTGTATTGTCATGTGACCACTTCTTCCTTCCCTGTTCTGATCAACACCTGCTCCATCACTTCTTTAGACCTCACTGTACTTCTAACTGCAATACTGTGAACTGGAAGTGAATGCCTCCATTGCCTTGCAGTTGGGTTGCTTTGATTTCTAGTTCTTCAGGAAGATGAACGCATGATTATTTTCCCATGAAATGTACTGATTGTTTTTTAGTTTTTATCGAGTGAGAGAAAAATGGGAAAGTGAACAAATGTTTTCATATTTATTTTATTTTATATATATATATATATAGAAAGGAAACACTTTTTACATTTTACTTCATGTATCTGGCAAGTTTGATGAGATTCCTAATGTTTTTGGCAAATCTGAGTTTCACAGAAGCCAGATATGAGAGCCTTAAAAAAAAATCACATTTTTAACTTTATTTTATAAATCCTATGTTTTATTTGGGGAAGGGGGAGGGGATATGGCATGGGTCATTTTAATGTTTTAATTTGCTAAAACTCTGACACATCCTTCCCAGAAAATTTGCATAGTTTTATTTTATATTAACTTTTCAGCTTAGTTTGTGGTGTCAAAAAGCCATTGGCCATTTCTGCTTATTGGTAAAACCAAAAGTGGACCTTAATTATTTTTTCTAAAAAATCACGAGTGATGATTTTGCCTTATACCAATCTTCCAGATTACAGTATTGTGCGTCTACTTCATCTCCTTAAATTATAGTTGAAATCAACTTGACATGAAAAAGATCCAGCTGTCACCACAACTGAAATGTTGTTACTGATTTAATTACTTGCTTTTCAGTAACTCTTTCTATGTTTATTTATGAGGTTTTACTGCTGAACACTGACATATGAGAAATGCTATGTTTCTGTTTCTTTGGAATGTGAAACAAACATCCTTAACAGTCTGACCCACTGAAGTCCCTCGCAGCACTTCTGTTGACTTCAGTGGTGGTAAGAACTGGTTCTTATTTCGTACCTCTTTTCAGAGAAGTATTTCTTGATAAGTGTACCCAAGGTGCACTCATATACTCACAGGCATAGGATCTGATCCTGCCAGTCTTAATGCTGGCAAAATCCCATTGAAGCAAACAGACACTTTGCTTCAGTAGGTACTTCAGGAGAAGGACTATGTCCATGAGTCTGAGATTTCCAAAAGTGACTAATAATTTTGGATGCCTTGATTTTCATTTTTTTAATCTTTGAGGACCCTAAACGGAGCTTGATTTTCAAAAAATGATTGTCAGTTGGTCTCTGAAAATCATGCCCCCCAAAGTGCCTCAAGTTGAATATCCCAAAAACTGAGGCATCCCAAATCAACATTTGGCTTTGAAAATCTTAGTCCATAGACTCTACTATGGTGGAAAAGAAACCAGCTTTTTCAAGGCAAGGGTATGGACCTGATTGTGATCTCACTTAAGTGAATTGCTTCTGATTTCTACCAGTGGAAGTGAGATCAACATTAGGATATTTTTTCTGGTGGTATTAAAGTACTTTCAATCCTGGGGGTTATTTTGAAGTGTCTTTGAAATGTCCAGACTTCCAAAAAAAATAATACAACAAAAAAAACCTCTTTGCAGTCTTGGGTGGTTTCTGTGACATTTCTGCTCTTTCTTGGATGGTGCTTTTACTGCATTAATTGTCAGTTCCAAACATCCGCTTAAACAGAGTTTTTGCTCTGTACTCTTTTCTTTCTGTGCCATTGAGAAAGATGCTTGTTCATGGTAGCTATAGTATGAAGTGTACAAAAAAAAAGAATTTATAAGAATTTATTCTGCTCGGCCATTTTGCCATTAATAGCAGTGCGTTCATCTAACCTTTCACAATTTACCTAGCTGACCTTCAGCAAAGGGTAAGTCAAGATGAGAAAAAGATAGCTTTAGAGACATGGCTCCTGCTAAATGGTAACAGGCCACATGTTCACTGCAGGTACTGGAAATACACAAGAAGCCTGATCTAATGTGTAGTGGGTTCCTCTTGGCAATAGTGTGTTTTTTGGATCAGAAAGAGGCCTGTTTTATCAGCTGGGATTCTTCAAAACATCACTCGATCTCAATCAGGCTTTCAAGGTCAATGGCTTTATCAAGGAAAAAGCTGTCATGAGCCCATCAGTATGGCTATGTGACCAGTGGTTTGCTTTCCTGTTTTGGAAGCCTGCAGCCTGATTTTTTAAGAGGGGCTGAATTTCAACAGCTCTAGATGCCTCTAAAAGTCAGGCCATTTTTAACTCCATTGTACTTAGCTGACATCTACAGCTTTGAATTTTGCAGCCACCCCAGCGAAAGTTGCTACAGGAGAATAATCCATAGCAGGTGAACTCACACGAGTAGCAACTTAAATTCTTGGAAGTATAGGTGTGGAGCTCTAGTCCAGTGGAAGAATATCAATTCCTTAGCAATTTTTTTTTACTATAAAGGGAAATAAGTTAATATCTTGCATATCTTATTTGCTTTACTTCTAGCTTTTCCTATTATACAACTGAGCTCAGCCAAGTCACACATATAATGTACATTCAACAGGGACTTGCCCAATTTAGCAGTAGGTCCTGGGCTTATCTCCTTCCTAATCAAGATACCACTTCATTATACAAGAACTCTTTATACAAGAACTTTATACAATAACTCTCCCATTCAGGGATCTAATTTAAAACAAAAATATCTAAAGCAGCTCTTCCAGCCCTCTCCTCTTGGACTTGTTAGGTCTTTAATTACATAATGAACTTCAGCCTACCATTTTAACCCTTCATGGCTGCCCTCCTCTTCCTAGCTGAAGCTTCCCCCTCCCTCACCCCTCCCCTCAAAGGTTCCTGGCAGGTTTCTTTTCCTAGGTCCTCTGCTTAGGAGCCTTGAAAGATTACCTCCACCCCAATGGGCACTTACACAGATAATCCTCCCCTTCTTTCAGACCTCTCACTTCAGGCCTGATTCTCTTTAAAGTCTTGCCTCAGGGCAGGGTCACTAGGACATGCCTGTGCTTTGGATAGGCCTATATAAAACAGACAGACATGGCCCTTTACTGGTTAGAAGTAGAGCACAATCCGTAAACACTTATTTCTTACACTGCAAACATGGTATTGTTCAGGTATTGCAGCTAATATTTAATGCCCCGGTTGCAGTCATTCATGTGAACATCATAGTTAATGGGCCAATGTTAATGCAGAAAAACCATGGCTTTTTGGTAGAGAACCTAAAAAGGATTTGGGTTTGCTTGGGGCTTTTTGTTTGTTTTGTTTTGCTTTTTACTTTTTGACCAAAACTGGTTTCCTGTTCAGGGCTGGGGGGTGGAGAAGAAAAACTTTCATTCTAAACTGACAGGGTCAGATCCTCAGCTATATTAGTTTATACCAGCTGGCCCCAATATTTTTAATTCTTGGCAGCAAGTCTCACTGCATGAGCTAGACTTTAGCTTCTTCATTTTAACCTCTTTCCTTTAGAAACTGCAGCCAAATTAGGTGGAAAATTCAAACATGTTAACATAGGCTAATGAATGTACCAGTATATAGATTTCTATTGCTTTCTTGAGCTTCAGAACAGGTTTATTTTTCCCCCACTCCTAGATATAGACTAGCTGGTAGAAACCTGCACAGTCAGAAACAAAGCAAAAGGTTCACTATCTGAAAGGTGCAGAGATAGATTTCAAAGGGAGATTTCATAAGATTATCACAATGGAAGTTTCTATTTCATTTTGTTTTAAACAAGCTCCCTGTTTCTGTTTAATTTAAGCTATAATCATGTATGTTGCAAGTTCAGCATGAAAAGATACTTACAAACAAAAGAAATAGATTCAGAACCTGGTTCTGTGACAACATTTTGCCACAGCAAACTGTGCGCCTTAACTTTTGTAAGAAAATTAACAAAACACTTTTCAGTGTATCTTTTCCTAAACCAGAAAAGGTAGCCTATGAAACTTTTTATATTTTGTATTTTCTAAGTTTTTTACAGATTTACTTTTCATGTTGTCCCTAGTTTTCATCAGGGGACTGTTTTGTTTTTTTTGACAAACCACTGCATTTTTTTAAGAGAGAGAAATACAAAATCATAAAACACAACATTATCCTTAGTGGCCAGGCAATCTCTTTCAATTACAAGAACTTCAATACAGAAAGAAAAGAATTACAGGGTTGTTTTCTTTTTTTATTTCCCGTGGCTGATGTACTGTATGGTATATGTTTACAGAACTCCTCTGGTCTGCCTTTGTGACGTTATCTAAATGAATGACAAAATAGGTATGATGTGCCACTTGACAGTTTGCCTTAGCACTCTTAATTTTTCTTCTTCTTTTTGTGTGTGTGTGTGTGTGTGTGGTTTTGTTTTTTTCCAAACAGTGCAGGCTGTATTCCAAAGCTGTATGAACACAACATTATCTTTCAATCCCCATAAATGACATAAATGTGTGCAGACCCTTCTCAATTAAAAGACCGGAGCCTCAACTCTGGAGTGGTGTGATTGATAAGGCCCAAGTCTTGAAAATACGTATCCATAAGCTTAACTTTACTCAGAGTCACGCCATTGAAATCCATGGGACTATAAGTAAAAGGGAAATGTATACACATAAGTGTCTGCAGATTAGTACAGGGTGTAGTTGAGGACTTATTTGTATACCTGGTAGCAGTTTGATGCACTGCAGAAGTACCCACTGGTCTTAGGCTCTTGAGAGGTGCTTTGTGCATTACTATTCTCACGGACAAAGAAAGGGTGCCCAGCATTGCTTGGGATTAGCTTCTGAGCTTTAGTATTGCTACCACTGCCATTATATTACTGATATAACAATATTTGGTACCTCACTAATGACCGTGCTATCAGTTCCTCCACATTCTGTTCAAGTAAACCAGTGGCTCATAAGTTATCTCTGTACTTTCAAGAGGGAGTACAGAGATAAAACCTCAAACACGTGCTGAGTGGGAGCAAAATGATGGCATACAGATCTGTCAGATAAGGGTGCATTTCTTTAAATACATTTTTAAATAAGGGTGCATTTCTTTTTTATTTAATCTAACCAAGCCAATTTACTTCTCATTGCATACTCTGAAAAT